TGGCCAAAAAATATGTGTTTAGACATAATTTAAAATTCAAAATTTTGTACAGCCGACTTCTATATAAGTTATTAAGACTAAGTCAAAAACTATTGGTCTGAACTTGATCAAATTCATATGGGACCACACGAAAAGTATCAGCTTTCAAATAAAAAAATCATCGAAATCAGTTCACCCAGTAAAAAGTTATGAGGTAGCACACATAAAAAAAAACATACAGTCGAATTGAGTAGATATCGTCTCCTTTTTGGAAGTCGGCAGAAAATGTAATGAAAGGATAGGCGACAAGGCCGTCGCCTACACAATCATAACACCACTATCCCGTTATTCGCCTTCTAAGACTTCCTAGGCAAGTAACACAATTGGCACATTCTTTTTTGTTACGTACGTCTCCACATAAACATGGGACACATTAATATTTTAATTCTTAAGCATGTGGGTGTCTTGGCAATGTTTCACTTACACAGCTTTATTTGTTTATATAAAAATAATTATATAGGTTAGTTCTTACTAGAAAATACGCCTTTTTTATTTAAAGCAAAGAAACAATACGTTTATTGGCACTATACCGAGACTTTAATATTTTTTTAATTTTTAGTTTAGTTTAGTAAATACATTTACGTAAATACGCTAAAAATGATACTGCTGCAATTATTGACAAACTTTCTACTGCAGATTAAGCTTATAGATAGCATTATTATGATGTGGAGGAATAGAACAATAGAGTTTGAGAAAGCGATTACTATTGTATTATATATGTAAATGTTATTTCGTTTGTGTATCTTTAAACCTTTCAGCACGTTCTTTATAATTTATGTGTCTCATTCATTATTGAACTTTATAAAAAGAAATGGTGATGGTAGCTAGTTTAATGATGACAGTTTTCTAACAGTGAACTTAGGCTTAGCGTTGCTAGGCTTGAACCTAAAACGGCGGAATGAGAGGGCAGGCTATGTTATTCGTATTTCTAGAGAACAAATTTAAAAATAAAGTTTTATTTTATGATTCAAAGATATTTTACGATTATAGTCTTTATTAACTTTCTGCTTTTACAAAACAAAGTCGGACTAAGCCTAGGACGAATGATGACCATAAAATTCGAAGTTTTGTTTTATAGGATAGGGTGACAAACGAGCACAGAGTCCACCTGATGTTAAGTGGTTGCTGTGGCCCATAGACATCTACATTTATCCTCGTTTGCGAATCAAAATGCAGATGCGTTGTCACCCGTGAGGACTAAGAGGGAATGCCTCTTTTCCAATAAAAGGGGTCTCCAGTTCTCTACACTCACCATACGAAACACAGCAGCATTAAGCTGCTATTTTACTCTGGTATTTTGTGCGTAAGCGTGGTCTTTCCCCGGTCGAGTAGATCCATTCGTGCTACAACTGTACAGTTAATATAGCTGCAGCATGGCTCTACCACGTTTAAAACGTTTAAATTTTTTTGTGCAAAGCCGACCAAAGCAATTAACAAAGTCAATGGTGCGCACACTGTATGCTTGAGTACTGTGATATTATTAGGGGGATATCCGGGCGGCGGTTAGTCCCTACAAACATATTCTATAACCGTGTAGCGCGGTGTTAGAATATCATCCCTCAAATCATCCCGTGTTCTCTGTTTTTCCCTGGACATTAGAGCAATTTTTTTCAGAGAGATTTTTTACAGATACAATCTGTATAATCTTCCCCTGCCAGGTTATTATTATTTTTTTTGCATCAAGATGTCCTATCAAACAAATTTAGCGAACATAAAAATAAAAGAAAATCAAACATTAAAAAAAAATTGAAGTCGTTAAAATTTTAAAAGAGGAATCAAAAAAGTACGGGAATAATTAGTCCGAGTTGCAGTTTGTAGTTCGGGTCCATCGAGACAGCAATAAATCGTTAAAACCCTTCTTCAATTTTGTTGTCACCCGGATATTCTTTTAAAACGTGCTCTCTTATCCTTAATCCCCTAAATATTAAGCTACCCATAATTGCCTTATATTACTTGTCAAAAGAAGAAATGACGAAATACTTTTCTAACATTTATAACCTCCTTTGTATAACATACGAGTGGGTTGCGTCTTTTATATCAAAGCTAACAAAGCAATAGTTAGCACCGCTTCCTTCCGAGAGCTAACAATGTGTGGCATTGGATTCGGCATTGGGGATCGCTGTCCGTATCTAACGATCGCCTCCGTCGGTTCCTCCCATTCATTTCATATACAGCGTGGTTTGTTTACGTCTCAGATGTTTGCTATTGCGTCCCTAGCGCCAATTACAGAGATGCACGTTGTCGAAGAAAGTGTTAAAGTGTTCTGTCGATAGCATCTTTGGTGCATTTGCCTGTATCTGCTTGTTCTGTATCGTTGGCGTTAGTAGGCTGTATTGTGTTGCCACTCGGCCTATTCACAGTATCTATTATGGTTACATTCAGGAAGTAAGCGCAGGATTGCATCGATATTTGCTGTTTATTAGTAGTAAAAAATCCATCCCTAAGATTTGTAAAATAGAGGATAAATATTTTAGTGTGATTAATTGGGCGATATTCTAGATATTAAAATTTGAAGTCGGTTTGTAATTTTTCTAATACATGTTCATTGAACGCACCCAAACAAAAATATGGTCGTGACTGAATTACCGACTCTCTGCATGTTCCATCAAATCGTTACTCCATGCTTGCTAATACTGGATAGCAGTGTACATTGCACATTGCGTTTTAAAGTTGGTTCTAAGAGGAACGTTGTAAGATTTTTCTACGACACTTGGAAACAGACCTGTTCCATATTAGGGAGGATTTATCATATTTGCCACACTTATCACACTGATTATTTATCGCAATACCAGACGTCTAGCACATTTATCACTGATCTCCATTGTCTGATTGTGTTTTAAATATCTGGTACATTTTATGTATATGAAATAGTTATTCCCACACCAATCGAAGGCTGTTAGAGTTTCATGATATTTTTTAGGCGGCGGTAGAAGATGTTTAAGTCTTACAGCCCGAAGAAACAAAACTCCTGTACTAATATTTCATGATATCTGTATTAATAAATGTAATACCTTACTTTCAAAATAAACCCATTTTGAATTTTATTAGAGTACAGGTTAAAGCTGTAATGGCAAAAATACAATCTCTTTATTTTTATTAAATAATTTATTGCTGACATTTCCTTTTCGTTTTTTATAATGATTTTATTCACTCGTAATTACTTATAACAAAACTAATATCACGCAATAAATAAAATAAAAATATTGTGTATATATTATAACAAAATAAAATTGTTTTATAGTACCTAACTCGTAATCCACGAGTGTGATATTGATTTATTTGAATAAGAAACATTTAAAACTTTTGAATTACGTTACAAGAATTTCTATGCAAATATTACAACTCAATTTTTTTTTGTGTACAATTGTTGCGTATGTGGTAGACTTAAGATGATTTCCAATTCGTTATCGAGATTTTTCGACTTAGCCAATTATGTAAACTTAAACACCAAAACTGGTGACAAAACTTTATTTTTTTTTTAATAATATTGCTGTTTTTCAAGAGCAGTATATTTCCTATAACATAAAGGCGCTCGAGTAATACAGATTGACGTTCCAAAGTGATTTTGATCAACGAAAGTTTAAATTACTTCAACATCAAAACCTATTTATTCCACTCTGACGCAGCAGAATGTATAAAAATAAAAGAAAACTCAGACACGCCGCACGCGCGTCCCTTTACTGTTGTAATGACTTCTTTTAATTGCCTTGGTCGAAATCAAATGATCAAACGACTGACTCTATTAATTAGATAAAATTGTAAGAAAAAAGTGGCAGACAGATAGCAGATAGACAGAAACACAGCGATTTCATAAATAATCTATTTTGCAATTATATCACGGAACAATTGAAATAATCCTTATCCCACAAATATTACATTGTATAACTCATCTATTACAGTAATTTTAAGGTACATAAGAGAGTATATAAATTTGTGGGTGACGGTAGCCCAAACTGTCCTAGTTTTGGCTTCAGTCGATGGAACTACTACACTAAAATATAACAAGTGCTTGTTGACCGTGTAGATGCGGTGTAGGAATGTCCACTATCCCATAACGTCGTATGGGAGTCGTAAAAGGCTACAGAGGGAAACAAAGCTGGAGATAGTAGCGTCTTCCTAATAAGAACTAGAAAAACACTAAGTAACTATGGCAAATATGACCCTGTGAGGCACTATGGGGAGGCCTATGTTCAGCAATGCCTTTGATAGGCTGCAATGAATGAATGAATGAATGAAAAACAACTTGTCTATTACATTTTTTTAAATACACAAGATTATATAATTTTGTGGGTGGACATAATTTTTAATTATGTACATATACAGGTGATGGCGGCGTAATACAAATTGATCACCTCATTTCTTCCAAAGTGTGTCGTAAGAGTACGTGGTGAAATACCAAGATCTTATGGTTTTCGAAAGATGATGATATAATTACATTTTTTTTTTAATTTTTGTTACGTGGTAAAGCCACGATAATATAGTATATTATGGCTGCGGGACGAAGGCTCGGCTCTACTGGGGAAGGACTATGCTCACAAAGAATACCAGAAATAGTAACATAATTCTGCTGTGTTTAATATGGTACGAGAACAGTTAAAACCCTTTTTACTGGTAACAAGGCATTTTATCATAGTACGCAGGGTGACATCGCATCTACAGTTAAATTCTTTATCTGAATGTTTGATCTGAGCTGGTTCTATAAAAATGCTGATGATAATAATTTTTGTCAATTATTTATGTTTTAAATTTTGTTTTTAAACACTTAAAGCCAATTTTATTGACCTATTTGTGTTTTAGCTATAAAATACTTTTTACTCACATTACAACATGTTTCAAATAAATATTTCATTAACCGTATTCAAGTTTTAATCGATTGCTCACAGTCGCATTATATCATCAACGGGAGAGGGTCTTTGCCCGCTGTATTACAGTTATGCGCACAATTACGTCACAGGCGGGACATGTTTACAAGAAACCCTGAGACGCTGACCTATATCGACAGGTGAGTGCGTAAGAGTTCTTCACGCGTTTATGATAAAGACATTATTAATTTTATCGATAATATTTAAATAAACTGATTTGAATATAATTGTGTTAGAGTTTCAAACAGTGACGTTGTTTGTAACACATACAGTTCTTTTTATTTTTAATACGACTCTACTACAATGGAGGTCTAAGATTTGTTTATTTATAGAGAGTGTGATAGACTTAGTTAATGTCCCCTCTATTATGTATGTTATTTAACATGTTTTATACCTAGAAGATATTAAACAAAAATCTTTTCATGTTTATATATCTGAAAATTGACCTAAAAGTAAAAGTAAAATTGAAGTAAAAGTAAATGACAGAAATGTGTTTGATATCGTCATCATCGTTACGGCCTATAAAAATTCACTGCTGACACCTCGGACTCCCTCAATTATTGCTACAAAGTATGCCTTGATCGATTTCTTGCATGTCTTACAAGATCGTCACTCCAGTAGTGCTTGTAGGCTTCACTACTTACTGTTACTGGGAACTTGATAGAATAGGTAGAGACGTATAAATTTTCTTTTAATAATTTCGGGTAATTTAATGTAATTTCAGACACACTTCACCCCGTCCGTTGTTACATCTTTTAGCAATATGGCCGAACAATTGTCATTACGAGTACAGCTATCTAAGGAATGAAGGAAGTGTAAGTGTAAAATAAAGTCAAAAACTTTAATAGCGAGTAAGTTCTACACGACTTGACCGATTGCGGTCATACTTATAAAATATATTTATATTGTCGAGAAGATGGTTCATAACTACGCTAGGATTCGATAGGTGGGGCTGTAATCAAGTCATTAATAAACTCTATACATATAGACCAAAATGAAAATCATAAAATCTGAACCCAATAGGTGGCGCTAACTTTAAACTATGTAGTGAAACTTATCGCGCTGTGTATCGGAAAGGGCAGTACAACTTAAAATAATTTTGTACTAAATAATTAAATAATATACAAAATTATATCTATCTTTGTAAAGAAACCTAATTACTTAGTACAATTATAGAACAAATTCATCCGAATTGACCTAGTGTAACATTAATAAAAATTACAGAGAGCATTGTCAACCGCGTCGCAAAAAATGTATTCATTTCATCGATATCGAAACCCCGATCGTCCCGTTAATTCACTGCTCGACTACTAGTTATTACTGGAAGAGCTAGCGGAACGAGTTACTTTTATTTTCTTTTTATAACGTGGAGGCATCGGTACCGCAATTACCACGGAGTAGGATAACACAATGATGTAATCTTATACTACGTGTGGTTTGTAGATTTCACTCAAAAAGATAATTACGAATGCAATGTAAAAGTAAATATTAGGTTCATTCATCCGATTTATCTTATTTCTTCTCGATTTCGATTGCTTCGGATGGTGGTTAGTTTGTTTTTTGGTTAGTTTAAATATTATGATCGATTTGTTGTATTTGATATGAGAGTTGTAATTACCTCTAATAATTTATCTATACTGTTTTAACCCTTGACTAGTGTTTATTATTCTAGAAGTCCTTATATATTTTAACTGTTAACATTATTAATATGGAGACAAACGTTAGAGGTTTGATGAAAAATAGATATTTAATAAAAAGTAAAAACTGACATCAAAATATTTTACACATAATTTAATAGCTTTAGATTTTGATGCTAAGGCAAAGTTTATCTAACAATTAAAATGCAGACTTCAAAAGTTATTAATGATATTTAAATTTATAATTATTTAAAATTATTTTACTATTTTTAGTTTGTTAAAGTAGTTTTTATTAAAAGGTTAATTTTTGACCGTTTGGAGTGGTTTAGGGTTACAAAAGCTAAGCTAGCACAACGCCTAAGCATTTGCACTAAAAATTTAATTCCCTATTTTTTAACCTTACGTGTGGAATTTTGTCTTTTTAATTTTATGGGAGCAGTCTTAATGTAAAAACTATTTAAAAATTAATCATCATAACTTGTTCGCAATTGACGTAATTAACATACATACAAAAAAAAAGATAAAATAACATACAGCAGAATAAAGTATCCTTCTTTTTTGACATCGGATAAAAACACAAAAGTAGGTGGCGGGATTTTTAATAATAGAATTAAGTAGTAATAATTTTCCTTTATCAGCTCGTGGCCGTCCACTATTACACATGGAGCTCTTCCACAGAAAGGAGGATTTGCCATAACGTGAGCAAATGAAGAAGGTATATCAGACGTCTCGTACCACCACTACACGTACACACTGCCTGGTGAGACTGCTCTTCTGCCTAAGATTTCGTCTAAGTACATGTTACCCTTTTTAAATTGTTTTCCCGCCAAGCAGCAGTGCACGCTCTGCTGTGTTTCGGCTGGAAGAGTATAGAAAGCCAGTATAATTACAGCCTATCACGTATTAAATCTTAGGCCCGTATTAATAAACGTTACTCATCTGAAGTACACGCACTTGAGTACAATCTGGAGGTTATGATCTTATTAATAAACATATCTCAAGATGCGGTTTAGGTTTACGATATCAGCTGAGTGCCACACTGATTAATAAACGAAATTCGACTCTCAAGTGTGTGTACTTAAGTGAAAGTCACAGAACAGTATGCCTAAGTACAGCGTTTTGAGATACTGTTTTTATGTGTTTATTAATTAGCAACGATCTTGAGATGCGCATATCGTAATGAGGGCGTTTCAAATGATTACGCACTTGAGCTCGTCGTTGAGTAACATTTATTAATACGGGCCTTAGTCCTCAGAGGTCATAACACATCTTTAGCGTTCTTTGTTTGAAGTTGGTCGCATGTGACCAATGTCCATGGACTGCAGTAGCCACTTACAATCAAATGTAAGTTCGTTACTAACTTCAGCTTTATAAAAAGAAGTACTGCTGCCTACTGGGTGTTTTATATGACGTATACAATATCCGGGTTATACCGCTATCTGTGGCTCCGACAAAATACAGCGCTGAGTAACCCTGTTGCCTGTTGATGCTAGATCAAGCTGAATTGATAGCTTTTTGCTTCCCGCAATCTAGTGTGTGAACTTTGGTTTTTTAGGTAGTTTTGTCATTAAGGTTTTTAAATTAATTACGGTTACTAAAAAACATGTTATCTTTTTGGTTCTTCTTTCAAATAGAGATTTACCAAAGTCACCTCTTAAAAAACCTGCGGGACGGTAAACTCTTTTACTTCGTCAACGCAAATAATTACAATAATTAATAAAATATATTATTATTAGCGATTTTGAGAATTGGTTTTTTTTTCAGTTGTAATACCCAAATTCCAAACGAATCACGATTACATGGTATATGCACGGAACATGTTACAGTACTTAAGATTGCAGTAAAAATTGACCGAGAGCATTGTCAACAACTACTTTCCAAGTCAAATGACAACGCGCTTACGATCCCAATTGCATTCTTCTATTATAAACGGCACCGAAAGAACGAAGACGTTACCAGTTAATACTTTTAAAATGCAAATTTGGTTGATCCTATTCGGCGTTTAGAGCTCATAATCGCTTGCGATTTCAACTTTAACAGATCTTAAAAGCGACGCTCTTTTGATGATTGGTCTCGTTCCATTTTGAATGTACGTGCTTTTGTTAAGCAAAAAGTATTTTCGCAATGTGTGTTTTCTTGTAAACGGTCACAATAGGACATGGCACCAATGTTTAAGAGTCAAAGGAAATAATCATGTTAAGGTCATGTTTAAATACTAAAAAAAACCTCGCGTGCGTTAAGCGCTCAGTACCAGAGCAAACCTAATTCAATCTCCGCCGTCACTAAAAAAAAATTGTTGTTTGCTATGTAGATTTATAACTTTATTATCGGTGAAGGAAAACTTCTTGAGGAAACCGGAATTTTTATGCCACTTTGTGCCTAGCAGTACATGTTATGTAGGCTACTACTTGTTTACATAATAATCAAAGTTATTCAAAATAAAACGGTTTATTTTAAAAATTATTTCGGAAACATTAATAAACCATTATAGTGCGAATAAACAAATAGATAATTGATTCAAGCAACTTATTTCCAAAATTTACTACAAGTTATCGTATCCTGTTATAAGTATCCTGTGAGAGCGTGATCCTTCCCGGGTCGAACCGAACCATACGTGCTACAACTATACAATTAATATAGCTGCAGTATGGCTCTACCACGTCAAAATCTTAATATGACGTACGGAATCTCAGCAAGTGAATAAATTTCTATTAAAATTGAAACCTGTTGTAACGATTCTGTGCAAAACACAATGCACCCACATAATGCCACTAATCAGCCTACAAGCTTGTCTAAGATTAAAACTGCAGACACGTCATATCTTAGCTATGATACATAGAAAGTTTAATTAATGCCTAGCTTATGTACAACATTTTTCAAGATTATAGCACTATTTCTATATTTAAAATTGATAACGACGTAGAAATACTCATTTTAGCTGACTTCGAAAAAGGAGAGAATTCCCAATTCGACTGTATGATTTTTTGTATCTATTTTATACGATGATGATATCTTTGTTAAATGTGAACCGCTTTTACATAAATTATCTCAAGGATAGTCCCTATTAAAAATTAAAAAAAATCCTTATGAAGTCGGGAGGTTTGAATTTTTCGATAAAATATATTTGAGTACTGACTTCAGAAGCTATTATATGGAAAATATTTTATCATTTTTAGATCTCAGCTCTGGAGAGTTTAATGTTTACAAACCGTTACAGTTCACTGCTGGACATAAAAGTTGAAAGTTAGAGCGTATTTCTTAGCATATTATTGTACATTTGTTTACTGCTATTTATTAAATACAATGGTATTTCTGGCCTATATTATATTAGACTCAGAAGAGAAATATTTAGAGTAAGAATTTTATAATATCTCGAAAGAGAATCCACAATCCCATATAATACCGTGGGTGTCGTAAGCGGTGACAGAAGGCAATGAATCAGGAGATGTGCATCAGCATATTCCTGACAAAAACTCAAATAACAAAAGAACTGCGTATGCCACCCGCCTGCCAAGCGTGGCAACTATGATAAAGTCCCCCTTTGAAGGCTTATGCTCATCAATGGACTGAAATGATGATGATGATGAAAAGTGAATTCTTATTTAATTTAAAGGATGAATTATATCTATAACATAATACTTTTTTTTATAGGATAAGGGTGACAAATAGGCACACAGTCCACCTGATGGTAAGTGACTGCTGTGGCCCATAGACATCTACATCTATCTTCGATTACGAATCAAAATGCAGATCGTTGTCACCCATGAGGACTAAGATGGAATGCCTCGTTTCCAGTAAAAATGTCATCATACGAAACACAGCAGCGTTAAGCTGCTATTTTACGCTGGTATTCTCTGAGAGCGTGGTCCCTCCCCGATTGAGCTGACCCGTTCGTGTTACAACTATATCACCAATATAGCTGCACCATGGCTCTACCACGTGCAAAAAATTAAAAACCTTCAACTTGATTTAAGAAAAATGCGTAATGTAGAAACGTCGTCGGCATCTCTGTCGAAAATATGAAAGTTATGATGCATTTTGCATTTAATTTAACACATAGTAATCTTATCGGTCATTTGGCAGTAAAAGAAAACAAGTGACAATAAATCTAAAAGTCAAAGAAATAAGATCAGTAGAAAGTGAGAAGGCGGAATAATATGCATATTTTGTTTGACAGAAAGCGTAACTGGTTCACAGATATGTAAATGTAGTGCGATGATATGTTATTATTTGGAATGGTATTGTATACCTAATATAATGCTTTTTAATATCTTGTTGATAGAAACTCGTGTGATACATATATTAAAAAAATGTTCAGCCTTTCAAACTCATGTAGTACGAATAAGTCGGCTCGACCTAGGAAGAACTACGCTCTCACATGATCTTACATGATGCTGCTATGCTTTGTATAGTCAGTTTAGAGAACCAGAGACACTTTTTACTTGAAATAAGGCCTTCCGACTTAATCCTCAGGGATGACAACGCATGTGTATTTGTAGGATAGATGTAAATGTTTATGGGTCATATCATTCACTAACTATCAGGTGTCTACCTAAACAGTCTTGTTTGCTCATTTGTCAACCTTATTATTAATATATAAAATAAAAAATACAAAATAAAAAAAAACATTGGAGAACTGTTGCAATTTCTTGTTGTGAAAAATGTATAGGATAATGTGATATCAAGAAGTTGATTAAAAAGTTCCTATAGTATAAGATTGATTGATATTCCAATTTTTAGGTTATTTCTGTAACATTTTTTTTTAATTAATGGAATGCAGATTCATACTAATTAAAAATAATTCAATTACAAATTTGCACTCTGATCTTCTGTGGTCATTAGTTCGGTGATAATACATTAATAACGCAATATTCAGCAACCATTAGTGAAATTGATATCGGAGCTAATTTAGTCCAGTATACGTAAATGTTGGCCGGCGTTTGATTAAATTTTGACGTGAAAAATTATGCAACGATTGGTTATTTATTATTTTCAATAAAATCAAAACATCCTGTTATGTTGTCAGATACTCTATAATCTTAATTTTATGTAGTCTTTTTAATTTTTTTTTATGAATAACGTATCCATATCAGCCTATAATGCCCATAGCTTAACATAGACCTTCCCAAAAAAGACGGATCATGCAGTTTTTTATTATTTTAAGATGTTATCAGAAGGATGCTGCTGTCCATCTTCTACTTCAGTTTCCCTCTGTCACCTCATGCACACCCAATTAATACTATTAATAGTTACCCAACAGAGGAAAATATTATTATTTTATTCAATTCTGTTATAGTGAAAAATTCTGACTTACATGTTTTGAAATCTAGACCATCTGGATTATAAAATAAGTATAAAAGCGAAAAGAATTTTACTTCTTTCATTGAATGCTAAGTAAAATATTTTTATATTGTAACTTAAATACTAATTGCAAAGATTTTAAGTCGGTTTCGTGAAAAAATATACGAATGTTCTTATACAAAAACTTCAAGGTGGTTTAGATGACATTTTTAGTTTTTCTTTATGTTGCATTTAAGGAAGTTGTGATATATTTATCGATAAATCAATTTGTTTTGTAAAATCGATGTTAGAATATCTAAATAACCGGTGACGATACACAAAAATATCCATAATGCAATAAGTGTTAATAATTGATTGAATAATAAATGACGGCTCCGTGGCGCAGTGGCTTAGCAATCAGTTGTTGCGC